ATTATCGATTGACTTAGTCACGGAGTCAATTTTCTTTTGGTCATGACATATCTGTTATTACTCCCTAAGTTAATTAGTTGTTTTAATTTAATTTTTTAAATATAAATTTTAAGAAAAAATTCAATATATTATATAAATGATAATTAAAATTTTTTTATCAAATAAAATATTTGACGAAAATTTTTTTAAAAAAATTAATTAAAAAAATGTGATTATGAGAACAAATTCACACATTTGTTTTCTCACTAGACTCACTACCAAACAAATGAAAAGGCTGGAGATCCATAATGCATGGAGGCAAGTACTCTCGTCCCACAACAACTTTACAGATTAAGGATTCGAAGCCCAACAGGGAACAGACAATCTCCACCCAACTTCTTGATTTATTTGATTCGGCAAAACGCAATTAAAGTCGATAGGCCCACTTTCTGGGCTTTATCCAAAACACGTCGACCCATTAATTCACTTCCAGTGTCGGAATATTTGCGACCCAACGATTCTGATTAGATTGCAGCTGCAGAATTTGGAACCACCAAAAACGGGGCCCATTTTTGACAACTATAGTCATTCTGGTCTCATTGCTGCTTCACTGGGCCCAATGATTAATACTAAAACTGTCATTTGTTTTATTATTATTATTATTATTATTTCGAATTGATTCTCCCTGTGCTAAAAGGCTAGACTCTCAATAATTATGAGTTTTGAGCTCACAAGTTTTAAATTAACCTATCCAATATAATCATCCCTCATTAGGATTTGTGATTAACAATAAATTTTAATTTTGTGATGTTAAGAAATTGATTTGATGAAACTTCAGGTAAGTTAATTATTCTAAACACATATTAAAAACTTCTTTATATATTTATTTATATATGTTGCCTTTAATAAAATATAAAAATAAAGAGAAAATTTTGATGATAGATGGATAAGGATAAAAGATGAAAGACAATCTATGTCAATTACGAGATGGTCTTCGCTATTGTTGCACAATATGGGCAAATTTTGTCTAGTCTCTTTTATATTTCTTTGAGTGAATGTAACTCTTGCTTCTACTAATGAGATTAATCTCTATAAAATAAAATTCTTGATTACCTAATTTAATTAGTACTTGTAACTCAACTCTTAAGAGCATGTTCTCAAGTACATTGGTTTGTATTCCACTCCACCCAGTAATTTCTAGAAGAAGAT